GAGAGAGAGAGAGAGAGAGAGAGAGAGAGAGAGAGAGAGAGAGAGAGAGAGAGTTGTAAGCTGTCTCCGCATGTGTGTGTGTGCGTTTGGTGCACGGGGGGACCCGCACGGTGCCGCACGGGGGAAATATTCACTCAGGAAAAAAAGGGGTCGCATGGCTGGGTCAATGGTGAACTGAGTCCTCTTTGAACATTTGTTGTGGGATTGGGGGGGGGAACAACTAGTGGGAGAGTAATGCCGCTACCTGAAGGTCAAGATTGAAAACAGCCAAAAAAAATACAAAAGAAAGCGAAACTGCCGCTGGTACGGCGCACGTGCAGGTGCCGTGCTGCAGGTGTACCGTGTGGTGCGGAGGACGGTGCCGTTGCAAGTATGGTGTGTTCGTGTGTGATGATGTGTGTGAAACACACATATAGATCGACCTGAGCATGGTGATGAACAATGCACTGTACCACCACAACACTTCCTGATGAGAAGCTCCCCACCAATAGATGGAGCCTTCGACGCCGGGGCCTACTTATCACCTCGTTAAGTAGGTTTCCCGTACAACGAAGCTTCTTTAAAAAAAAAAAAAAAAAAAAAAAAAAAAAGTCAACGGACAACCCATGAAGTAGCATTGCAGGTCCACGTGATGTACTGATGTACAAAAGACAATAAAAAATTTTACAAGACCGGAAGGCACAGCGCAGCAAGGCACGGAAGACAGCGAAGCAAGGGACATCGGCTGGAGGGCAGGGGGGAGGTGGGTGGGGTGAGAAACAGCACAAGGCAGGAAGCCAGCCAGAAAGTAGCAAGGCAAAATCAAGGCAGATAAGAAAAGTACAAGTACCCCAAAAAAGCGAAGACCGAAAAAAAAAGACTGGATGGAAAGTTTCTTTCGTCCGAGTTGCAACAACTCATCAGGGGCCTGAATCCTCGACAATCTGCGGAAATCCTTGTATTGATGGTTTGGGTCATGAACACTTTACCCCTTGTTGAAAGCAGATTGTCCACAAGGGGAACGCAGCAGCGGGCAACAACTCAGCCAAGCATCAGGCAATGCAGCCAGAGCTACCCAACTGCACAACACCTGGCGTCTGCTCTTATCAGCACACCAGGCATTACCTCGGGTTGTTACAAAAAAGAAAAAGAAAAAACGAAAAAACAAACAAACGAAAAGAACTAACTGCATGAACGACAGCGTCCCTGTACAATTATGAGAATGTATCTGCTGGAAACACACTCAGATGCGTGCTTTCATGGGGAAGTGTTGTGGTGGTACAGTGCATTGTTCATCACCATGCTCAGGTCGATCTATATGTGTGTTTCACACACATCATCACACACGAACACACCCATCCACAGGCTGTGGCCAGGAAGCCACTCCGACGGACATCTCCCATCACCCATGATAGACCATATGCATCACAGACATCACAGACAGAGCGGCCACCCTAAGAGTCCTGCACGCACTCCAAACAACAGTCCATCGACTGTTTAGCACTTCTTGAAGGTGCTCACTCAGACACACGGAAAGTACTTAGAGAAAAAGTGGAAAACATGAAAAAAAGACATACATAAAACTGATTGTGTGTGTGTGTGTGTGTGTTTGTATGTGCGTGTGCTTGCACGGTATCTAGAAAGGGATATGTCCGCAAGCAAAGAGCCTGAAAACCATGGGATTTAAATTCATTTAATTTAAGAAATAACTGGGTGGGTGACTGCTGCACAGTTTCAAATTCGCAGGAATAACACTCCACTGCAAGCTTGGGCGAAGACCAGTTCGAAACTGCAAGAGAAACAGTAGACTGCGCGTCCGACGGCCTACCGGTTCGATAATTGGCAAAAACGGGGGGAGGTCGCCTACCGTGGTGTCAGTAGTGAAGCGGCCGTCAGGGAAGAAACTTTGTTTTTCCCTTTGGACCCCTGTGGTGGCCGGCGCGTGGAGACAGGACCTACACAGTTGCATTTGCTGAATGAATCGGCCGTTGGGGCATGGCAAGATACACGAAAAAAAAAAAAAAAAAAAGTTGCAAAACGAATCTATCTAGATACAGCTCCGCCGGTTCTTACCTAAGATAGAGTTGTGACAGCGTGACGGATGCATATTACGCCGTAGATTCCCGGATTTGATGGCAGGATAGTCGTTGTGCGAGGTTCCCTGCTCGCAGCACGGGAAAGTTTTCAGGAAAAAAAAAAAAAAAAGTTGTGACAGCGTGAAGGA